CTTAAGATCATTTCGAAATTAGAATAGTCTATGGATACCTGAGAGACTTTATGAATCTTGGCCGAAATCGATTCGCCGCGACACTCGTTTTGATTTTTCGTGTCCGAGATAATTGTCGTGCCAGAGCACCGGTTGATTCTGTTCGGAATCGCGCGACGTCGCGCCGTGAGAGAAATTCGAGATTTGCCGACGCGTTGCATGTTAACACGCCCAAATTCGCGGAACGACGAGAATAATCGTGTTATGCAAAATTTTCGGCGACGCCGGTAAAATCCCATTCGCGTGTTCGTATATAAGCGACGCGGCGATAGAATTGTCGAAATACGTCTCATTGTCAATGCGACACGAGGTCGGCTGCCGCTAAAAGAGAAGCATAACGATGCCTCGTCTCTTTTTTGCTCGCGTTAAATACGGCTCTCTTCTCGCGTCGCACCTGACGGAGCGATCGACTGCACTTTTCTTTTTTACACAGTCTTGGACTTGATGTAAACAAAATATGAATGGCAATAAAAGACACGACGACAGACAAATCGATACACTGGAAAAAAATCCTGATTAACCTATAGGGTTCCACAATAAGCTCTACTAATAGACTAGACTCTCGAAATTCAAACAATAAACTTACAAGGGCTTACAATGAGGATAAACGAGAATTGCTATATCTGAATTACAAGAAAAGAATACATGTATACTTTATTTTTATAAAAAAAAAAATGATGATTTAGGGGCGATAGGAGGGGATTATTTTTTATGTGTTAAATATAGGTATTTAATAAAATAACATTTTTAGAAACATATTTTTTATTGGCAATTCTTATTAATGTAATTTTATGAATATACAAGTTTTACGACCTCAAAAAAGTGTACATGTCTTAAAAGAGTACAGTGACCCTAGATAAAATTAACCTAACAAGAATGGCATTTTGAGGATGAACAGAATTTCTGGTTATCAGTGACCAATAATTCTGTTCCGTCTCACTAAAATGCGATTCTTGTAGAGTCCTTTTGTTAGTTTAATCAAAATTTTTTTCATTGTAATGACAATCATGTTCATTTCTGTCAATATAGATTAACTTTAATCTTGGTTTAAAATCCTAGGAATCAGAAAAAGATAAAAAGCATAAGTTAAAGTGAGATTAAAATTAATCTACATTGGTAGAAATAGACATTACTAAAACGAAGAATAACGATTTTTATCCGTATTTTTATTATAATACGTGCGATAACAAGTTGTACTCTAAACGTTTTTATAGCAACACTTTACGTTTCTCGTGTAAAATTTTAATAACGTTTATCTCATTTATGTAATGGTTTCACTTTATTTAATTGCCGTTCACTGAGAAGAAAATGTACTAAATTTTAATAGATATTTATTTGAATAATACTAACTACACATTCACTTAATTGATATTTATTTAATAAAAAATAATATAGTTAAATATAATACTCGTACAAATAATCCAATGAAATTAATGGTTTGTGTATATCTTTATATTTAGTAAATATAAACAAATGTTATTTATGATATTTTCTTCGATATTTATTGGTTATAAAAAAATTTAACTGTGATGATGAAATATACACTTTTCTAAAACATAAAATAGATGATTGTTAAAAAGACAAATTTATTTTGATCGTTTTTAAATAAGGATATTTATTTCTGTGAAATAAATATTATATCCCACACCGAGAAAATTTTATATTAAGTTTTAATACAATTTTAAATTACACTTTACTATGTCTTGTATTTTCGATGGACTCTCACAACATGATTCCAACTTAACTTTTACTATGGTAATACTAATTTTTATCACATAAATAAAGTAATTATTTTGTTAAGCCATATTCTAACATGAAAACAGTTAATTTTTACTGTCGTACGCAAACAAAATTTGCTAGGTATATTTGATTTTGTAATAAAAAATATTTACTATTAAAAAGTGTAAAAATTACGTTATATTATTGTTTTTAAAAAAATAACTATAGCATTTAAATTTATAATTTACATGAAGACCGCAGCTACTACTACATTATAGTAATTTTAAATATAAAATTTTCTCCGTGCACAATTAAATTTTTAAGTATCTTTTTTTCAATATATTTGGCTCACTAAATGTCGCGCCACGTCGATATTTCGGAAACCTTACGCAACTACATCCACTTAATTAAATGCACTTTTCGCACAAATGAGGCTCGCACCCCTCAGGCAATATCACCCGGGACTCGATTACGATCGTTCACCGAATGACGGTATTAGTCATGCTTGTCGGAATAACAAATTAGGTGTGAATCACATTCGAGAAAGAGAGAAGCCTGGGATAAAATTAGACTGATTTCGAGCAAAGACTGACGAGAGTAAAGTGATGTGACTTTAATATTCCCATCGCGTTTCTCGCCTGAGATAAAAGGGAGAGAAGGATCGTGTTACGGGCGTTAAAAATATTTGGATGCATCCCGCGTGGCGGTGGATCGTTAATTATCTCTAATCACCATCCACCCCGCTAAGATTAGAAAGGCCGCTTCTGCCATGCGGGGATGATACCCGACGCGATGCTGCGATTCACAATATTTGAAGCTTTCTCCGCGACCACTGATATCGTGGCCCACATCGCGGGATTTGCATGTCGCGATAATTGAATGCGTTCTATCGTCGTCGTTCTCGATGCACCGACACGATAATACGTCGCGCACGTCAAAGTATATTTCGCATACGGATAGTTAATTAACGATCGCGAACCGGTAATTATCGGCCGCTGAAATTAGATGTCCCGCCGATTGCGCCGAATATTTTAACGAGATATGATCGAGCTTTAGGCATTGCCGCCGGAGACACGATGTTAATTAAACATTATCGCAATACAAGTTATCTGTTCAATTTTCGTTTGTTACAATAACATCTATTGGTGCAATAAATAGATAATTTACACAAAATAAATGTCTTATAGTTTCTGTAAGATTTTTATTGTAAACAATTTTAGTATGTGCAATCACATTTGCTTATATCCATAAAAGGATGATTTTACTGAAGTATTTAAAAATTTAATCACATCTGAAGAGATTTGAAAATAATTTTATTGAATTAATTAAATAATTACGTGAAATATTTAAGCTGGTTGTTAGAATGTCAAAATTTTTTGGAACGTTGAGTTTCTTACATAATTATTTTGAATAGTTTATCAAAATTATTTTCAGATCTATATGTTTGCCTAAATTTTTAGATACTTTAGCATAATCGTTTCTTCTGTGTACAATAACTGTATATAACATGAGCTTCTTGCTTGTATAGATATTCCACGTCATACTTGGCATACATATTTGCTGTACTACTAAACTCGTGACACATGTATCGTTAGCAAAATGTAATGTAATTGTATTATCCTGCGGTATGTACATGATTTTATTTTATATGATGTGTTTTTATAAAAGAAATTGTCTGCTTTGACGCGTTCGGCACCGTTTAACGATAATTGCGAGATAATCGAAAGCACATATTATGTATATGTTTCATAATTGACTTTCATTCCGAGAGCGAAAGATACTGCTTGTAAATAATTATTTAGCTTGTAAAATGTATATGTAAAATTATATAATCTCGAAAATATGGAAATCTGATGTTAAATGAATCGTCAGTTTAATATAGCGGATTTCATTAAATTAAATTTTCACACTGAAATTTTCGTTATAATTGTTGCAATAGTGTTTTTGAAATATTTTTAACGAGGTGCTTTATCCTGTGTGATATTTTGTAATTAAACTCCTTGGTAAATTTGCAATTGATTTTGTCGATAAAAGAGGATAATAAAATGTTTCATTTTAACATTAAAAATTGATAAGGTTTTTTACTTTATAAACTCTTCTTAGATCGAGTAATAAATAAACCTCTGAATTTATAGACAAATTTATTATTGATCGTTTCTAAAATCTTTCGCTTTATTTTAACTCATCTAAACTTGAAAAACTGTCTAATACTCTTTCAAATTTCCGTCAAGGAAAAATCCACTCTAAACTGGTCGCAAAATCTGTCCATCAAATGTAATCTGGTGATTCTGGGTCACACTAGGTGTCGAGAAGCTTACGTGAGGATATTAGTTGTTGACTACCGGCTCAAAATACCAGTGTTAGCAATTAACAGTATAATTATGAGCCACCGTTGCGGACATAAACGAACGCTTCTCTTCTATGTGCGCTACACAGTTGTTTAACGCTTTTCTCATTATCCGTACGTTGAAGAAGTTGACAACGAATTAACGAGCTGCTGCCTCTTTTGTTTCACTTAACCCATTTCTACTAAATTTCGAATTCTTCTCTTTCTCCTGGCGATAAAACCGCGTAACCTGCACCGAATATTTTTCAGTGCTTAATTAAAAAGTTCGCTTGTTATATACGTTGGAAGGGAAGCAAAAAGAGGAGGAGGAGGTGATGGTGGAGGAGGAGGAGGAGGAGAAGAAAGAAAAGGTGAATTTTACCGACGCTTCTCAAATACACGTTAAAAAAAATGTTTCCATTCGATGTCAAACTCATCCATTAATTTTTATTAACATTTCGTTAAAAATGACAGTGAATTCAGAATCTCCATTATTGAAGAGCACGAATTTACATAACGACGTAAATACAGTGCGACAGAGTCTATCAATAAATCTTTCGACAGGCTCATCATAGAACAATATAACAATGTCTGTGCCAAGCATTTTATTGATGATATACGCTTACACTGTTATGTAAATTCGTGCGCGTGCTGACCTCAATGCTGATTTCTCAAACTCCCGTGTTTAACGAGGGACCGTAAATTCATTCCGAATGCCGTCCGTCTCGAGAGATAAAGTTAGCGAAATCGGACTATCCGTCTTCTCGGAAAAAAAGAACGATGTGAAAAACGAGCCGAAAGCTTCTCGACGAGAGTAACGCGAGTAGCTTCGGTTACTCTGGCGACTCCGTTAGAAATAGCGAAATAGGAAACTGAGGGAAGGCGGTCCTTTTTCGCCTCTACGCCAAACGAGGTAATGTTGGCGGTCACTGATCAGTCGTATACATGTGTTTTCGCAGCTCCACGACTGGACCTGGAGAGCCTCGAGAGCGGATATCACGGCCTGGTCAAGGAGAATGAAACTTTGGTCGAGGTCACGCCGCAGATCCGCGCCCTGGGAACGAAAGTTTGCTCCTTCCGCATCGCGAACAAACACCACGGTGAGGCGCCGTTCGAGATTGTCCTGAAGGAGATGGGGATGGCCGAGCTGCGGGCGTTCCGAGTCCTGAATTGCGAAAAACGCCGTAATTACAAGTTCGACATCGCCGCGGTCGGCTGCAATGGAGTGCAATCGGAAAAGTACGTTCTTGTGTCTGGCATTTTACACGCCGTGGGCTCAACCCTCGCACTTTCCTAGAGCAGTCGCGTGAATTTCCATCCGCATTTGTTAAGTCTAGCGAGCACGTAACGCGTTACGCGCGTTCATTCGAGGAAACTATCCTGCGAGATAAAGTAAACTTGACGAAAGTAGAGCGGAATGGACGATACGGGGAAGAACTATACCTAAGTTTATAATTGCGAGAGTCAGCCTGCTTCAACACGCAATTGCTTTAGCGCTGAAAAAAAGTTCCCTATCGTATGATGCTCTCGGCACTCAGATAACAGCTAAGTAGAAATGTACACTTCCACCTCGTCAGACTTTTCTTCATATATCGTAGTTATCTTTTTCTGCTGAATACTTAGATAACTTGGAAACAAACTTCCGTTAAAAAACATTTACATTACATGAGCTGCGAGATAATATAAAGTTTTCCTGATAGATATTATTAAAATACAACTCAATGTTTTATTTTCTAGAATATATCACATTGAATTTCGAGTTTATTTAATTAAAAAAAAAAAACATTTTATTACAGTTTAAAAATTAACTAAACACGTTGAATAACAAATATACTTATATAAAATTTATTATGTTTGTTACGTTTATCATGTGGCAAAAAAATATGACACGTTCGTTACAGCCAAGAAATTAAATATTTCATTCCATGATGTTTACATCTGTTACATTCGTAATTTAAACTTTACGTGCCTCTAGTAACTATAAGCATAAATTGCCTTATCCTCACACGTAATCGTCGCAAACTATATCATTTATACGCGCCGATGTCTGAAAAGATAAAAGCGGGCTTAAAATGTCATATAGGAAATGTATCGTCTTACTCTGTATTTATCAGTAGTTAAAGTCTATGATAAGTCACTTTGCGAATATGGGTCACCGAATAGCGTCGCGCCAGCACAATGCCAATTTTTTTGGCTCGCGGCGCGTTATAGTCACAGCATGTATCGGCTAAATGAGGAAATAACTCCCGGTCCAAGTGCACAAATTTTCTCATTACGAGAGTTGTGCGATTTCACGCCTGTCTGAAACGGTAACTGGCGACTATTCCCTCGCGTCCGTTCGCGTTTGCTCCCGATCTTTCGCCTCGATAAATATTACACGTCCCTCGGAATGAAACTTTTACGCTCGCGATCGCGACAGCTAATAAAATGTATTGTAGACCCGAGGGGAAAGACAAGAGTTATAAAGCTAGAGTAGGTATACGAGACATCGAAACAGGCGATTTTGACTTTTGTTAGGGGAGCGCAAAAATTCATAATTATAACCGTACATATAATTTGTATTTGTATTAATATAAAATTTTGTATTTGTACGAATATGAAATTTTAATTGTGAATGTAAAAAGTAATTTATAAAATGTTTAATTTCACGTGCCGAGAATACAATTCGGTAACAATTGAAGAGCTTACTACAACAGTGGACTACCCCACATTTTGTAAAAGCGGAGAATAAATGAATTTTTTCCATCACTTTAACTTTAGAGTTTATTTTCTCTGTTTTTACAAAATGTTGGTTAGTCTATTGTTGCAGTTGCTTTTCAATTGGATAACGATTGCAGTAAATTTTGTTACATCCGAGTAAAATTAGGGTAAATAGGAAAGTAAAAATAATTTATTGTGAGAGAAAAACTAGCGCAATGCTCGTTCCGTTTCTAAACCGTCTCGAAATCTGTCTCACCTCGCGGAATCGCCGCCAACGAATGCCAGATCAATAGTGAAACGTGTCGTATATACATGCACAACATACGACGCTTTTATATATAAAAGATTTCGGTGAATTTTTCATACGCAAAGCAAGCGGGTGATGTTACGGCGAAATTTTACTTCGGCCGTCGCGACGGCCGAATGAATTATGCTGATGTCGATCGATTGATATCGCGTGTCTCAACCGCCGATATTGCCCGTCGTAATTTCTAATTAGGATATCGATGCATATCCGGCACGTTATTATGACATTAATATGGAAGAGTCGGGCCAGGCCAGGATATTGAGCGGAGTTGCTCCGATTATTTATTATTATTACACTACGCGTTTGGCGGATTTTCGGCGCATTGATTTTGTCGTGTCTAAAATTTCAAACGTAAATAGATTCCGAGTGCGTAATTCGAACAGTTCGGTGTTTGAACGCGTGTTTTCGGTAACGAAACAATTCCGAGTCGAAATTCAATCCTTTTCTCTCGCACGTATGGTCTCTGCGGTATCGCATTATTGACTTTTCCGTTGTACGCGCGTATTAAATTTCCGATATTGCTCCAAGTGGACACTGCCATATAAATGTTTTACATTAAGTATATCGACAGTATTTGCTTGACTGTAATTCTTTTAAATCCCTTCCCAACGGGTACACGGGATAAATGCATTCCTCTGGTATGACGGGAAATATTAAAAAGATATAGATGTAATTTCCTTCTATAGCACTGCATCGCTTTACTCTGTTTAAATTATCGCTAATTCGAAAAACTATTACAATTAAACTCATTACGGAGGTAAACGTATCTACGGGAGCGTGAAATAGCTAATTATCTTGATGCGAAAGTTATTAAAATAACCTTTATGACTGGGGAAATAAGCTTTTTTAAATTCACTGTGGAGATTATAATGGAAATTCTTGGTTGTAATCCGTTCTGGGCACAGTCGGAATAATCTTTCTAGTAGTTGGGAGTAAACATTTTTACCATTCCGTTACAACGTGGCGCATTTGCGATTTTTTTTTAATTCTACCTGAATCTTATTGAAAAATTGCACAGATTTTCGAGAAAATATATTAAAAGGAATTGCGAGTGCATAAATGGAGAGGTAGGAATTCGAAAGATCTAGGCATCTTCTAGGCCTTTTATCAAGCGACGCGTATATTCTGCGACACGTCGTTATCTACGCTAGGAGAGTAGAGGGACCTTGAGATGCATGTGCACACTTCAATTTTATTTCAGCGCCACGGTTCATATTACTGTGGTTGACGTCAACGAGTACGCGCCGCAGTTTCTCCAGCCGGCCTATGTTAGTACTGTGGACGAGGGACGCCTCTACGAAGAGGTGGTCCGCGTCGAGGCGTCCGACCGTGACTGCACGCCGAAATTTGGCGATGTCTGCAAGTACGAGATCCTCACCGCCGATCAGCCGTTCATTATCGACAACGAGGGTGCTATCCGCAATACCGAGCCTTTGGATTACGAACGCTCACACAACTACATACTCAGCGTGGTCGCTTATGACTGCGGTATGAAGCAGTCGGCGCCGGCGATGGTGACGGTTAAGGTGAACCGCGTGTGTGCTCCTGGATGGCGAGGAATCCCCGAGAGGGTAGATTACGCTGCCGGCGTCGGTTCGCAACCTCTATTGCCCTCGGCGCGACTTGATCTTTGTGATGCACCCTGCATCCTGCGCAACGTGCGCGCCACCCTGACTTTGGCCACCGATCACATCGGCAAGGGTTGCGATCGTGATACCTATGGGGTTCGCAGCCAGCGGAAATTATGCGGTGCCTCGCGCGACAGCGTTGATCTACTGCCCACACCTGGACCCACAACTTCCTGGACGGCCACTCTTTCCAGAGATGAGGGTAGAGAGGCTGATGAGATCTTCGAGTTTGACGGCGTAGACTCAGCCGCGATCGTGCCGAACGATGTGCTGGAGCATAGCCTGGCGCAGAAGTTTACCATCGGTGTCTGGGTCAAGCACCGACCACGCCCGCGACAGGATCCACATGTCAAGGAACACATCTTGTGTGCTGCCGACGATCACAGTAAGTTTCAATGTAACGAATGCTAAGATTTACTTTTTGATAGCATTTTGACAATATTTTTAATATTTACAACTACCTGAGAATCAATTATTTTTCAATGTTATTTTATCAAATAGTTTCGTGTTCGTTTAATATTTTGTTTTTGATTTGCTTATCAAGATAAGTGGCTTCTGCTTATAAACAGAAAATGCCCAGCGATAAGAACAACAGAAGCTTGTTGATAATGAAAATAATTGTACAAAGAATTTTCTTGATATTGAATTTTCACTGATGCCTTTGAAAATCATAAAGATTAACGGTATAATCATATTTCACGTTTATCACGCTCGTGGTTATCCTGATTGACTTTATAACAGGAAAACAAGGAAATAGGCTATATACTTTTTATGTAAAAGCAACAGAAACTTGATGATGAAGAAAATAATTGTTCAAGAATTTTCCTGATATTGAACTTCACTGACGCCTTCAAAAGTCAAAGACTTTAGACTAACACTATAGCATCGTGTTTCATGTTCATCACGTTCATGGTTATCCTGATTGGCTTTATAACAGGAAAACACGGAAGTAAGCTATAAACTTTATAATTTTCATATAAGAGCAACTTGTTGATAACGAAGAAAAAAATTGTACAAAAAATTTTCTTGATATTGAATTTACACTAACGCCCTCAAAAGTCAAAGACTTTAGATTAACATTGTAGCATCACGTTCATAGTTGTCCTAATTGGCTTTATAAGAAGAAAACAAGGAAATAGGCTATAAACTTTATAATTTTCACGTAAGAGCAATTAGTTGATGACGAAGAAGATAATTGTAAAATAATAAACAAAGATTTTCCTTGATATTGAACTTTCACCCTCGCCTTGAAAAATCATAAAGATTAATAACATGTTCTTATACGATTATCGCGTTCATGGTTATCTTGATTGGTTTTTAAAAAGAAAAACAAGGCTATAAATTTTATAATTTTCATTTCCCTTTAAAGAAGAGAGAATAATTATTTAAAGCTGCTGATAAGCTCGCCGGTCGTTCCAATGTCGAGCGATGCTCATCGATGTAGCCGCTGTTAGCAGAATACATTACGCGCTGCCGGGAGTGCGCGCGCTCATGCGTTAAAATATACACGTTCATTCCGCGGAAACGCTGGGGTATTATCGTGAAGTTTCGAACAAAGCGGCTTAATCCTTGCGCGGAATGAATTTTGGCAAGAAATCAGGTCGAGCGCGCTTATATAGGTCGTCGCTCGCGCTCGCACGTTCACTCGCCTTCGCGAGGAGTTCAACTCAAATATCCTACCTATCTACCCGGTCTGAAATACAAATCTTTCTAAATACCAACCGGTCTCCATGGGCGACGTGTAATCCTCGGTTATAAACGTTCTCTCTCCCTCGTCTTTCTCCTCCCGCTCTCTACCCCTTTCACGTTAAATCTCTCTTCTACCCTTAATGCCGTCGCGCGTTTCTACACTTTATTACGCGCGGCGGCGTCACGAAAGGTGCAACTAACGCCGCGCCGTTTCAATTACAGAGATGAATAGGCACCATTACGCCCTGTTCATAAGGAACTGCAGATTGATTTTGCTGCTGCGACGCGACTTCTCCGAGGGTGATCCCAACATCTTCCGTGCTGCCGAATGGCGTTGGAAACTTGGTCAGGTATGCGACGATAAGTGGCATCATTACGCGATCCAGGTAGACTTTCCACGTGTCAATCTATATGTGGATGGCGAAGAGTGGCATGCTGACGAGAAGAACCCTGAAGTCATTGATGACTGGCCTTTACACCCGGCTAAGGGCGTCAATACCACCCTTGTGGTCGGAGCATGCTGGCAGGGCTCCGAGAACAAGACCAAACACCATTTCCGTGGTTACCTCGCCGGTCTGTCCGTTTTAGTTGGTCGAAACGAGAAACCGGAAGTACTCTCGTGTTTGCGGCGTTGTCAGGAAGGCATTCACGTACCACCAATGGACTTGTTACAACCGGGTACTCAGCTGTTGACCAATTCCGATATGACCGAAGTGCGTATCGATGGTGATAATCGTACAAATGTGGAAACCTTACTGCGTCGTATTGGCTACTCCAACACTCGGCGTTTCCCGACGCCCGGTCGCCGTAACTTCCGCCTCGACACAACGATCGTCTGTGAGGGTAGCGAGAACACGCCCCTACCGGTACCGACTGTGCAGTCCTACGTCACCGTACTACCGCCTCCTCGACCAGGCATCACCGTCAACGGTACCGGTTACGTAGCCCGAGAATACGCTGATTTCCGGTTAGGAGTACGTGTGTTCCCCGACGCGCGCGTCACCGCTGGATCGGCCGCCCGATTGGATGCTTGCGCTGTCAGTGTTTATCCAAGTCTCAATCCAGATCATGAGAGCTTAGGATTACCTGGTGACGCCCTGCTCGCATTCCACGATATCTCCGCTCGCGTCGATCGGGATGGCGTCGTTCTTTCCGGAGCGGATTCGCCTTACAACTACCAACAACTCATCCGTCTTATCATGTACACGAACCGTAAGCCGGCTTACTATCTCGATCGCGTCTTTAAACTTACCTGTTCCGAGTTGAGCGGCCGCTTCGCCAGTAATGAGTACGTGCAAACGTTGGCCGTAATTCATCCTAAGGAAAAGACGACCGTTTTGCCGCACACGACGCCCGGAGAACCGCCCATTGCCAGAATCGTTGAACCGGCACCAGGTCACGCACAGCTCTCGCCGCATCATGCCGATCTAACAGAGGAGTACGCTACGGCAGCGCTTCGTGAAGGCAG